TGTTGATACATGTCAAGTACCAGATGCAATTATTTCTATATGTCAGAAAGTCTAAATAATAGTTCTTGGCAATGGCACTTGCTTTTACAGTCATTATACAGTGTTTTGCTATTTCCTGTTCAATTTTTTGAAATTCGAATATATATTCAAACAATATATAGTGAGTGAAAGTTTAACTTAAGGTTTTCTTCGATTCTTTCCATCCCTGCCTACCTGCATCTGCAATCATGTGTAGTATTAACAAAACAAAATGTTTGATTTTTTTAAATGATTTCTTTTATGTTTATTCCTAAAATTAGTGTAGTTTTAAAATGAAAAAATCACTATAAGAATATATTTTGATTTAGACATCATTAATTAATCGACACTTATTTGGTATTTAATTGATCTCCAATAATATCGGGCTGTGGATGTGGGTGAAGAGATCTTTACACCAACACTCATACAGAGTCCGTATGTGATCTCTGTTTACGATCGTATTTTTTCTCCGTATATCACCGTATTTCTCAGTATAAGGCACGGAGATATACGATCGTAATACGTGACCATGTAAATCGTCGTATTTCTTCGTATACGGTCGTTTACAACGATACTTGTTTGATCTGGGAATGATGGATATCAATAAAATAAAAAAAGACTCATTTAGAAATTTATTTCAAAAAGAATTCTCGTTTTGTAATCGTATTAAAAAAAAAGGTAGATTTTAATTTGAATTATCAAAAAAACGAAAACGAATCGACAATAGATTCAAGAAATGTTTTGACACATCAATTCAACTTTTTTCAAAAATTGTTTTTTGAAATAGGTATATCTAATAAATAATTTTTTATGTTATTTGTTATGAATTCAATATCTTTTTTCGAGAACTAATTTTTATTGATATTTTTCTTATTACAACAGACAAAACATCATGTTCACTATCAACTTAACAAGATGTTGTTTTTTGTTTTATGTCTTTTGTGTACATAATATATGAGTCACCACAAACTAGACACATCAACAAAAAGAAAAAACTAGGTTGTTCAATACAAAACAATAGGAAGAAGGAAAAGGTTCTTGTTGAAAAATATATTTATAAAATTTTCTGATAGGGATGCAACTATAACTTCAGATTAGAACTTATCGTTCTTACTCAGTTTTTTATGTCGTTTCTAAAAATGTAACTTTTATTGTCTGAAAAAGAAAAAAAAACCATAGAAGGGATTAATACAAAAAGAACTACTTGATTAAAAACACTGATAATACTGCACAATATATAAAGCATTGCAAAAATGACGTCTTTCGAAATCCTCGGCAAGTTTTTTTAACAGTTCAGTTTACAAAAGAAATAAAAAAAGATCTTTCACTTATTCCAAACATCATATTTTTTTTTGTCATGTTTTCTGTGCATAATTAAGCTACTTTATTTACCAGCACGCGTACCAAAAAAAACTCATTCAACTATTATGTGTATAATGAAGCTGAAAGACAAAATAAAATATCACCACTATGTGATATTACTTTGCAAACCAACTCAAATGTCATCATACAAGAAAACTTTTCGAGAAAATATGAAATAGTAGAGTAGCACAGAGAACTTATTCCTTAGTGCTCATACTCTGATGTAATTTTCATGAATTTGCATCCACTACATTCATAGAATGTAGTAAAACACAAAAATAATGATTGATTCTGTACAATACTTCGTTTATTTCACATTGAAAAACTATATTTGGTAAGAGAGAAAAAAGAAGAAAAATCAAGATTCCCTTATGACTATTTATTTGGAGTTTAGAACACATTTGGTTTTATACGATTTATGTTTTTTCTTCTTTTCATTATGGATCTCTGTCCTATTTTGGGTAATCATTCTCTATGTGCACACATGCTGATCTGAATTAGAGCAGATGCAAGATTACGAATGTATTGTCTATAGCCATATGATGGCTGATATCATTAATATAGAGGGTATGGGTGTGGATATAGTTTGAATAGAATAGCTACAACTGCATTCACATCCACACTCACCCACGCCTACACCACCAACATCCACAGTCACACCTACCCCACACCTTCATGGATGAGCACGTATTCGGCTAAATGTACATATCCGCATAAAGTCCCGTAGGACGTAATTTGTTCGAATATAAATTTGAGTTTTGTTAAATGACCATGATTAGTCATGGCTATTTGTATTAATGTTCATACTTTCTTTCAGTGTTTATGGATGGTCGCATGATTTGCATGTGAGCCTTTCAGCGAAAGATTAACTTTAAATATTACTTTCGATTATTTTCATTCAAATAGTCATCTATGTACTGTTTAACTTGAATAAAAAAGACCTCGGTAAGCATGCTAATATTGATACTATATATCTGTCTATGTAGCTACTTAACATTTCTACCAAAGTAAAATTAAACATCTTCTCTCTTTATTAAGCTACGATGTATAAAGAACGCATGATATCTGCTTATGTGAAGTTATTCTACAGCTAAAAGAATTTTCTTTTTAACGAATATTAGCCAATGATGATTGTGTCTGATACACATATGTATCTGTTATTATAATGAATCTCGAACTATATTTGTATTGATGAATAATATTTAGGATGTGGTAAAATCCAAGCGCGTTTAGGATTAATACATCTGATGTAGAGAGAAGACGAAAATAACAATATAGAAAAGCATGCGCAAAAACACTAAAAGATAACAATAACAGGATTTATTACTTTCCAACACTTGCAAAAATATGACACAACCCAGAGATAACAATACGTCAGAAACTTTTGCGATAAATATATTTTCATCGTACTTGGAATTTTAAAACGTTTTTTAATAATATAAATTTCACCTTTTCATTCCATATAGGCCTATTGATATAATTTTTTTGGACAAAACCCAAGTCCTCTGATATCTTTTTAACAAAAAAACCCACACTTACTCTCTACTGCTTATCAAATGTTTGTCGCTTAATAGATAAAAGTCTATTTAATATTTTTGCTTTCGTATCTTTTTTTTACATATGCTATCTATTGCTATCCATGACCGATCCTGTTTTTTCTATATAGATACTCATTACGTAAGATTGATTTTAGAACTTTAACAGATGAATACATTAGACGCAGATGAATCAACGCCGCTAGTACCCAGACATGGTATTCCTCCACCAGTAACTGATGAACGAGGACCTTTAAAAAAAACCCTAGCAATTTATCTCATTCTTGCATGCACTCTTTTGGAACGTGTCGCATTTTATTCAATAATGGTTACTCTTGTCCTTAATTTGGATTCGGATGAATTGTTTCATTGGCAACCACGAAACAGTTCTATCGCTTCATTTATTTTTTCTGGTAAACAAAATTTTTTAATATTCAATTTAATATGAGAGTGTCTTCAACTGTCAAATGTCGAGTACACCAATATGTTTCGTATAATTAGAAACTATAGTCAGATTAGAATATATGTTAAAGGTTGTATGCAACATGAATATTTCTTTCTCTAATGATTAGCTGTTCAAAAAACAATCCTATTTCACAAAAAAAGTCATTAAATCAGTTTTTCTTTAATGGCCAACGTCTTCAGAAGGAAGTATCTATTTTGGTTTAGATTTTAATGATATTCTAAAGACCATAAGAACTTATTATGGAGCAAACTTTAGGGTCAAATTTATTATATTAATTTTTTGTTGAATTTCCTACCGAAGGCGAACATCTCAGTTAAGCAGTTATTAACATGAAGCAGCAAGTTTCAAATGAGTACTAATTTACAACTGTGCGGGTCAAATTTTTTAAATTTCTGCCCGTTAGAAAACTCCTATCATCTAAATTCACTTTAACTAGAGAATCAGACATCCGATATTTAGTGTGTGGATATAGGTTTAAGTATGAGAAGAACATTCACAAACATCTTGAGTCCCAAACACCTACACCCATCTTTCTCATGTTATTGTTTATCAAAATAGGTACAAGCTATATTTCAACACTGATATTTGCTGTAATCGGTGATGCCAAATTAGGTCGAGCTATAACAATACTTGTTGGTAAATTAAGACAAAAAATTATTTGAAGCTCTTACTATTCAGACTGAATTCTTCTGTATAGGTTTTGTTCTATATGTAATTGGCTATATATTAGCTGTGTTAATTACGAAAACAAATATAAATATTTGTGCACGTAATACATTTAATGAGAGTGATACTCCGAATACGATCACAATAATTCAAGAACCTTGTGCTAGTTGGATCCTAGTAACACTTATTATCATGTATGTTTATGTATTTATAATTTGCTCATGATATATTTTTTTCTATCTATAAAGTGCTATTGGTGCTGGAGCTGTACAATCTAATATGGCTGTATTTGGAGCTGATCAAGTCCAACAGTCAGACAAGCCATCACGATATTTCGACAAGTACATCGTTGTAGTAAACATAGGTGGCATTATTGCAACATTAGGCATTAATTTTATACAAAAAGATGCAAATCATTATTTTATTGGATACTTAGTTGCACTAATTATCCTTCTTATTGCTGCTGTTTTGTTTAGTATTGGTTGGCGATGTTATATAAATGTAAAACCTTACGATACAGTGGTTAGTAACTGCATTCCAGTTGTTATAAATGCATTTCAATCCTGGCTGCAATATAAGCACAATAAACGCTCAATCAGTAAATACAGTACCGATGCTTCGGTGACGAATTCAATTAGTGATCCTTTTAGTCTTACTGAAGGAGAAGATTCGATGGGATTAAATGAACAACCAAAAGCTTTTCTTGATTATGCAAAAATACCTAACAATGGAAATTTTCATGATAGAATTGTAAACGATGTTAAATCTCTTGGACGTGCACTTATTGTATTTAGTCTTCTTATTCCATATTGGCTTGTTTATCATCAAGCAAGATCAGTTATAATATAATATTTCTCATAAACCTTCTTTGCTGTCTTTAGATGGATTCAACTTTTCCTTTACAAGGTCAACATATGCAAAGGACACGAAATGTAAAAAATATCATTACTTTGATGTCACTTGGTGATCCAGTAACAATTGTTAGTAAGTTCATTAGTTAAAAAGGCATGCTTTAATATAAAGATTTATTATGTAAACTAGTCGGTATAATAATACTCAATATATTTATCTATAAGTATTTGGATGCTCAAAACCAATTATTAACAATAAGAACTAAACTTGTTATCGGAATGTGTTTTGCAATAATAACTATGTTGATTGCTGGTACAGTCGAAAAATTTCGACGAGATCAATGTGATCCGAGTATAGTATGACATGAAAAGGATAATTTATTGCTAATTTACTTAACTTTTTTAGATACCAACGAATCTACTTTATCGATATATTTTCAATTATTACAATATATATTTCTGGGTTTTTCTGAATTATTTGCTACAGTTGCTACCTATGAATTTGCCTATTTTGCTGCTCCGCGTTCAGCACAATCACTTTTCATGAGTCTTCGTTTCTGTTCATTAGGTATATCATCATTTATTGGTACAGCATATATCACTGCTTTTCCAACAACTTCATTTATTATGGATTTTAGTGTGAGTATGAAAATCGAACAAATGTTTTTTATTCTCGTACGTTATTTTTAACGATTGATTGTTTTAGTGTCGACCTGAAAAACAAATGAATTGGAGTTTTTATACTTATTTCTTTATTCTTGCCGGTCTACAATTAGTTTTTCTAATTATATTTATTAGCTGCCATAAAAAATTTCGCATAGCCAAAAAAAATTCACAACAAACAGAGAAAACCCTGTTTTATCGGCAATTATCTACTTACACAGATAATTAATTATAAATAATTGCCTGCTAGAAATTTTTTTTCTTATTGTTGTTCTAAATTTCAAACTAATATATTGCTTGCTCTTCATATTATACAAATCATAGACAAATTTGAGTATGAATTTCTCATGTAAAGACAATTGATTTGAATATGTCCGACATGAATTGTTTTTTTTATCCCGTAAGTAAAGGATAATTAAAGGAAGTTGTCATAGACCTTATTTGATAGAAAACTTTTTTTTATTTCCATCAAATCGTTTCTTCATTGTTTTAAAAGTGATAAATATACTAAGCTATTCGTAATTGCACAAAAGAAGACTAGAACGTCAATTACGTTTTCAGCATTGAGATAGCATACAATGAACAGAATGAATCTAATTGTTAATACAAAAAAAGAATTTAGACCTTTCTAACTGAATAGCAGGGCTTTCATTAGATATTTCTGTGATATGATAACTGACCGTTCGTATGTCAAAATATCGACGGTTGACTACCGGTGTATCGGTGGTATAGTATCGATGATTCGCTAGAGCCTTTTCCGATTTGCACTAAGTGGGTTTCAGAAAATTATTCCATCATTACTCTCCGCTATCTGCGAAAGAATGCGATCAGTATTTGTATAAATTATTTTAGAACGATTAGAGGAAAAAAAAATTAAGATACCAAAAAACCTAGGAAAACTCATGTGCCTTTTTCATTGGTTTCTTTTCGATTTCTTCAATATTTTTGAACTTAATTATCAACAAGAGATATCATATTTCTATATTGATCCATGATTTTAAAACAAACTTGAAGGAGTCTGATCCTTCCCATACTTCTGAAGTGGTACGTCTAATATACTACTCACTAATAATGTCTAATTAGGTATATTCAGAAAAAAAGTTTCAACAAACTCTAATGTTTTGTTTTTGAGGAAATCAAAACAGATTATGAGGTGTTTCGAATACATCGAATGCTTGAGATCCAAAGATCTAGGCTACGCACGTCCCAGCATAAGTCTAACTTGAAGCGTTGCAACAAGCATAGTATAAACCTCATTTTTATTATAATATCTTAGAGTCTGTAATTGAATGTAAAAGCTTTATGAGAAATGTCTTGTAAGCAGAAAAGTCTAACCTTTCCAATGCTCTAAAGAAATGACTTTTAGAGGTCTAGCTTTTAGGAGAATTTTATGGAGACACATTTTACTTACTATGCAACGGGTCAACCAAAATTACCAAATAACAGTCACGAAAAATACCACTGAACGATTTCCGACGGAAGGGAAAATTTTTCGAAGGGCATCAACTTTGAAGCTTGTTCTGCTACAGTTAGCGCTTGATTTAAATTAAAACAAAATAGGAATTCCTACATAACTCAATGAACACTACACGACCAGCACACTTGAATCTTATCGGAAGGAAAATTTTGTAAAAAAAAATGGATAGATCTACGCGGAAGCACTGATACCAAATTTTCTGATTTCCAATATAGATTTAAAATACATATAATCAAATACAAACAAAAAGATTATTCAACCAGCAAATTAAAAAAAAAGATTAGTTAGAAAATCTCAAAGTGAGCTACAAAGAAGATATAAAAAGGAACAATATTATACGTGAAAATCCTGACAAAAAAGGGCATGCACTTTTTCTAGAACGAAGCCATGATACGAGTTAGCATCGATTGGTTTTCTTTTTCATATTAATAGTGAGACATATTTAGGTTTCTATATTTGACGCTTTACTAGATATTTTAATGTCAATTTTGTTAAACTTCAGCAAATGAGATGAAAAAACGGATGATGACTATTCAATAGAATAAAAAGAAATAAACTATATTCATTTGATTAAAAACGATCTACATGGCATCAACATTCACGGCCCTACGAATTCTTCAAATTTCTTCACAATATATAATATATACTGGCTATGTCACATTTACTATTGGGATTATTGGTAATGCTATCAATATTCTTATTTTTACTCATTTCAAGTTCTTTCGAAACAATCGATGTGCTTTTTATTTAACGATCGAATCAATGTCGAATTTTATATCTTTATTTTGTTCTGGAATTTTAAATATTTTTGTAACAATATATGGAACTACATTAGTAACAAGTTCACTTGTTTGGTGTAGATTAGTATATGTATTAGCTCAAACATTAGGGCTTATTACATTTTCTATGATATGTTTGATTTCTTTTGATCAATTTTTTTCAACAGATTATCGATTAAATTTAAGATCCATTTGTACATTGAAATTAGCTCAATGGCTTGCATTTATAAGCATTTTTATTTGCTTTGTTCATGGTATTACATGTTCGTTCTTTGTCAATATTGTACCATTAGTAGGATGTGTTACGACAAATCCAATTTTAATTCGATATTTTACATATTTCTTTTATCCAATTTTGACCGGTTTTCTTCCCATTATTACTGTTTCTATATTTAGTTTATTTGCTTTTCGTAATGTTCGTCATATAATTCGTCGTCAAGTACCAATTGAACGTCGTCGACTTGATCTTCAAATTACAGCAATGGTATTACTTCGTATGGGATTTTTTGTTGCTTTTACATTGCCTTATATAAGTTTTCGTATCTATATTGTTAATGTTACTGTAAAAAAAACAGATCTTTTGCAATATGCAATCATACAATTGATTCAAGCAATTATTTTTTCTATCGCTGGCTTGAACATTGCAGTAAAATTTTCTTTCTGTTTTAATTCATGTTAAATATATTGATTTATTTTAGACGAGTTGCTATATATTCGCAATATCATCCTCAAGATATCGTCGTCAAATAAAATATGTTTTAGTGAAAAAATGTTGGCAACGATGGAAAAGTTGGTGCTGTTTCCATAACAATCGAATTCAACCTGAAAATGCAATATCTTTAGGTTCAAATTTTGAACTTGATTAACTATATATATATATATGTATAAGAGTTATTATTGTATCGATCTACTTATATATCTTTGCTTTCAATGTGCGTTTATATAAGTCTTGTGGCTTTTGAGAGAAAAAAGAAACTATATTAAGGAACTTTATTTGAAAAAGTGTTGTATTAATATGGTTTCATTGGATAGATGAAAACTATTGTCAACATTAATTTATTTATTTATAGGTTCTCCTCCGTTACTTTTATTATAAAAAAAAGTCAATTCATTTTTGTGGAACTCACGTATGTTTTCGAAGAAAAAGCTTGTCAGCGCAGCTCCTTTGGAGCTGAAATGTGGAACTCACGTATATCGTTTCAATTTGTTATTCTACTGCATTATTTGTAAACTAAAACATACTATTTTTTCAAATAATTATGAATGCATTAGAATACTGTATAGAATCTGAAGCCTTTTGTGCGCGGTTGTTGACGTCTGTAATGGTGCCCTGTCTGTAATGGGGGCTGTCTGTAATGGGGGGGGGTCTGTAATGGGGGGGGGGG